TTTCCGTAAAATAAAATATGCCGCAAATGATAAAATACGTGTCATATGTATATAAATTTTACTAACCAAAATTATTCAACAAAATGACTCTTGTAGAAAGGATAAATCAACCTTATGAGAAGAACCGATTTCTCACAGTCATCATATTAGAAGCCCCATAAGCAATTTTCACATAACTCCATAAGAAATTGGGCTCTAAAATATATGGGAATCATAAAACCCATACTTTACCCAACAAGAACAATTACAATCGAAAGTAAGAGGAAATGAATTGAGTAGAATTAGGGATTTTGACAAATAAATTAAAACTAGGAAAGTAAAAAAATAATGAGAGAAATAGATAGTGAAAACAAGATGCGAGAACAAGTTGTTTCGATCTGGACTGGAAGGAAGAGAAATGGGAAGACGATAGGGCCGGGCTGGTCGGCAGATCGACGAGAGAAGCATTCTCTACCGGCTTCGTGAGGAAATAATTGATGGTTAAGATAATTTAAGTTTTCTCTCACCAAAAATCTAATTTATTCTTGAGAGACCGAAAAAAAGGCTTGGGCCTGGGAACGCCTAATCTATAGCGTTTATTTTTTAATTATTTTAAGCCGCAAAAGTTATTATAACACTTGTTGAAAAAACGCTATAAGATAGTGCTATTAAAAGCCAATTTTGTTGTAGTGCCAATAAGCCCATCCCTTTCATATTTATTATAAATAAAAGAAATATTCTTGTATATCCCAATATTACCCTCAACCATTTATACCCAATTGTTAATTGTAACCCCAATTTAATCAATTTTGTCCACAAAAATTCAATTTTGACTTTTTTTAGAGCATACGTTAATATGCTCCAATTTCATCATTAACTTAATTTAATCTCAATTTGACCTCAAATTTCACAAATTATTCAATTTTGACCCAAATCTTTTTTTTCAATTTAAAAAAAATAAAATAAAAATTTTGCCGCCGGATTCCGGCGTTGACCGGCGGTCAACACCGGTCTCCGGCATTGACTTTTCATTTTTTTCTTTTGAATTTTTTCGCCGGTTTCCGGCTTTGATTTTTTTCTTTTTATTTTTTCTTTTATTTTCTTCCGGATTTTTTCGCCGGTTTCCGGCGTTGACTTTGTTTTAGTGTTTTTTTAAGTTTTTTTTTTTTTTTTTGGTTTTTTTTTACGTACGCCTCTAAACGTTGACCGTAATTGTGCTGTCACTGACGGTAAATTAACGTAATTATACTGTCAATGAAAGTTGATTAACGTAATTGTACTGCCGTTGACAATACATTTGTGTAATTGTTCTGCCGTTGATAGTAAATTAACGTAATATTATTTTTTTTTTTTTGTTTTTTGTTATTTTTTTTTATTTTGTTTGATTTGTTGACAAGTGAACGTAATTATATTACTGTCGTTGACAGTAAAATAACTGTAAACACAATAATATTACTATCAACAACATCAATATTATTATTTTTTGGGTTTTTTGTTTTGTTTGAGTTATTCACGGAGTAACGTAATAATATTACTATCTATTATTGTAATATTACGGTAAACACAATAATATTACTGTGGTTGACGGTAATATTACTGTTGTTATAGTAATATTGCTGTCAACCACATCAATATTATTATTTTGTTTGGATTTTTGTTTGTTTGAGTTATTCACGGAGTAACGTAATAATATTACTGTCTATTATTGTAATATTACTATGGTTGGCGGTAATATTACTGTTGTTATAGTAATATTACTGTCACTCAAGCTAATATTAATTCTTTTCGCTTTTTATTATGTTTACATTTGTTGAATGGTCAACATAGTAATATTACTCTATTACACAATAATAATGAGTTTTGTTGTGTTAATATTAATGTGTTAGAGATTAATATAACAATATTACTGAGTTAAACAGTAATTTAGTTAATTTTACTGTGTTTAACAGTAATATAGTTAATATTACTGTCAATCACAACAATATTGTTGTTTAAACGAAAAAAAAAGTTATAGAAAGAAAGAAAAGAAAAAAAAAGAGTCAACGCCGGAAACCGACGAAAAAATCCAGAAGAAATGTTTTTTTGAAAAGTCAACGCCGCCGGAATCCGGCCCGAAATTTTTTTTTTCAAAAAAAAATATTTTAGGTTAAAATTGAATAATTTGTGAAATTTGAGGTCAAATTGAATTTAAATTAAGTGAAGGATGAAATTGGAGCATATTAAAGTATGAGGGGTTATTTTAGTCCTTTACAAAAATCTGGACCATGGTTGACTTATTGGTAAATGAGTTTTTTATCTGGATCTCTTTATGAATAAGTACCCATTGATGGGCTTATTTGTAAAGAGGCCAATATATATATATATATATATATATATATATATATATATATATATATGTGTGTGTGTGTGTGTGTGTGTGTGTATTATGTATTAAGAAAAATAATTTCAACGGTCAAATTAAACAAAATTTCTTTTTAAGTATTAAAAAAATTAATTTTTTTAAATATTCTTTCCACTTTCTCAAAGTAGAAGCATTCTAATGCATGTTTATTCCTAATTAACATGCAATTTTTAAATCATATGTGTGTGTGTATTAGTGTCCGCAAATTTAAGAAAATGAGGGGAGGATTTTCTAATTTTCTCCACTAATTAATAATCCTAAAATACATGAGAAAAAAAATATTTTCTAAAATTTTGTACATGCATAATCATGATAAAATGCTTACTTAAATTCATATGCAAGAATAAAATCCTAGTTCATAAAAAATATTTTATTCTACAAATTTAAGAAATATTTATTTCGACATAATATCTCAAAATATTTCCTAAGCACATAATTCGAGTAATCACATAATTCACGTAATCACATAATCACATAATCACATAATCACATAATCACATAATTCACATAATCACATAATCATATATTTCACATAATCACCTAATTTTTCAAGTTAATATTAATCATGCAATAATTATTCTAAGTCTTAATTTCATAGATTTGCACGTAGAAGTGGTAAAATAAAATAATAGTATTTTACCGAAAATTCGAGGGTTATATGTTACGAGACCCAAATACCTTACGCTGAAATAAAAACACGGAACGTCCAAGGAATAATGACCCCATAGCTATAAAGTGCTAGAAACCATTATTATCAAGGTGGAATATTGACTTCGTGGTTATAAAGAACCATAAACCAATATTATGTTGCTAAACAATTACAAGAATCCACTTGTAGGATTCCGAAATTTGTTGTAGAACAGCGAAGGAGAATTATTCTCACCAAATACTCAAAATATCATTAAAATTTGTCCCCTTAAAATAAGCCATATTGGCAACCTATTTATAAGATCTAAAAGACTCCTTTTTTCTCAAGGAAAATGACTCTTACCTAAACTATAATACGAAACTAATAAATAAGAAAATCCTAATTATAAAAAACTCTAAAATAATAAAATATAATAAATACTAAATAAAAAAATAATTTAATAAAATACAAACTCGAAACATCAAGTTGATGACACGAACACTCTTCATAACTCGAGTAGACACTTGGTTATGCACGTGTGTTGACTTCGAGCTCGATTTCTAACCTTTTCCACTCCGAATCTTTCTCGGATAAAAACAGCCAAGTTTTAGATCTTTAAATTGTCTTTCCTTAGAAATTCGAATCACCTTAATTGGACGTCATATGAGAGAGTTATAACCCGAATGGTCAACTGCCAGAAATAGGCGAGGATCTCGGATGCATGGAATTCGGTTTATCCAACGAATTCCCCTCTTTAAATATAATCCTTTGAGACAAATATCAAAAGGAGTATAAATATAATCTTACTCATAATCAATCTCTCGGTTCGGTAGAAAACTTACACATCTCCGCACCACATCGCAGAACACACCATCTTCATCGGCTTGCATTGAAAGAGTTTGCAATCCGGTTAGCTCGGCACTAGCTTCGATGCATGGCTGGATTATATCATTCTCCATCTCTTCAAAAGGATTCGCCCTCGAATCCGAACCTTCTTTTTCTTCCCCATCGAACTTGACCTCAACAATCTTTGTTACCTCTTTTTCAACTAACGCATCATCATTTCCTAAATCGGTTCTTTCTTTGGTCTCATATGGAGGATCGAACGTGGCCTCTCTTGGTATTGATTCCCAATATCGGTTTGATGAAGAGCTCCACCGTTTTTTTGGACTCGACGATCTCCTTCCTTCTACTCATTGGCATGGAATGAATGAACTGCGGGCTTAGATGATCTAGGATGATCAACCAACTCTCGCTCGTAATACTCATAATGACCTTGTCTTGGTTGATCCAACTAAGCCCCTCGCCGCATATTAACATCTCTTGGTGTTGCAGCTGCGACACCATATCTTCCATCACTATATACCTCCTTATTACGATGAGGTATAACAGGTTGGTGAACATCACGTCGTACGTATGGCCCTCGAACATGTTGATCTTTGCTTAGTTCCTTTACCTTTGAAAAAGAGGTTGGTAGCAATATCTGGACGCCGAGATGATCGAGCAGGCTATGGGACGATTGTGGCCCATATACATAGTACCGTTGGTTCTTTCGAATACGTTTTGTTTCGGCACATCAGAAGACACATGGAATAGAGCAGCGCGTGAAGTGGCTCGTCTTTCCTTTGGATGCACTTATATGTCAACAATATTACCTATTTCTATTCTAAATATTGTATCGCTTGAGGAGTAGTTTTAATAGAATTTATTTTCTTTCTAAAAAAAAAAAAAATCTAACATATATTCAAATGAATATACAATGAATTGATTAAGTAATCCTCTTCCGAAATTTTATGGCACATTCTAGAAAGATGGCATTTTGATATATTGATTTGTATTGAGGCCACGAAAGATGGAAAAAAAATATTTAATAGTCCAACCTTAATTAGGAAAAAAATTCATTGCGGTAGAAATTGATACCCACTAAAATGTTATATATTCCATCAGTCTCCGGCTCGGAAATTTACCAATAAGTCTTTATTTTCTTTACATATATCGGCTCTCTCTCTCTCTCTCTTTCTCCCAAATTTGTTAATTAGTAGTTTGAAATGGCAGATCTGAAGAAAGATGAGAGGCAAACGAAATTCGTAGGAGTACGGAAGAGAAACTCAAAATATATAGCAGAAATAAGGGATTTCAGAAAAAAGAAGCGTGTTTGGCTTGGCACTTTCAACACCCCCGAGGAGGCTTCTTTCGTTTATCTTTCCATGAAACGTGAGATTGACGAATATAAGGCTAAGTTATTTGCCAAAAAGATTCCCTCTCAAAATCCATCCTCAACCCTAGATTCTCCATCTCACGTCCAACTTTCCGACAAAAACGATGTTTCTGATGGAACCAGCAGCCGTAGCGCCGCCGTCCTGGAAGAGCAAGATTCCGAAGAAAACGAGGATTCTGATGAAACCCGCAGCCGTAGCGCCGCCCCGGGTGAAAAAGAGCAAGTTTCCGGCGAAAATGAGGTTTCTGATGGAACCCGTAGCGCCGCCGCCATGGAAGGGCAAGTTTCTGGCAAAAAAGAGGTTTCTGATGAAACCAGCAGCCGTAGCGCCGCCGCCGTGGAAGGGAAAGACGAGGTTTGTGGATATCAAGATGACAAATTAGGGTTCATCAACGGTGTGCAAGTGTTCGATGAGTATGGGATTTTGGTGGGGGAATTCAGCCACATCGATGATCTTAGCATCATCTGCCAACCCGAAGATTGCGCTTCTATTTTTTGATATTCGGTCAAATTCTTACATTCGACTTAATTAGTTTTTAGGGTTCTTCAACAATTTCTTTTCATCTTCAATATTAGATTTTACTTTATCGGACTCTTTTTTGGAATTGTAAGGCATTGCCCTGGATATGGCATAGATCTCTCTCTCTCTCTTATTTTGAGTTTTATTTTATTCTTTATTCTTTATGTTTTTTATTTTTTATTTTTCAAAATTTACTAAATTACGGTTGTTAAATTAATGTATTCGAATACTGAATTTGATAGTCAACTACAATATTATGCTAGTTACCTATAAAACCGTGGTAGTCAACTATAACATTCTGCTAATTATTTATAAAATTGTGGCCGTCAACTACAAAATAATATAATGATAGTTAACTATGATTTTTTCCTAGTTATCTATAAACTTGTGATAGTAAACTATATAAATAATATAATTATAGTTTTCTTATAAATAAAAAGGGGCAAATTAGGACAATCCCTTGAGGTAAGGTTAAATTACGAAAAAACTCATCATTTTTGCATAATTAAGTACAAGCACCCCCTCAACTATGTATCATATTACGTAAAAATCCCTCCAGTTGATTCATTTAGGGGTGTTCATTCAGAAAAAAATGTACATAAAATTGCGGTACGCCCAAATTTCATATCGTTTAGTGTTTGGTTCGATAAATAACCGAATTACCAAAATTTTATTAGAAATATTTAAAATTTTGATATTTTGATTTTTTACTAATTTTAGTTTAAATACTAATATAACATATATAAATATATATATAAAATAAAATAAAACTGAATACCATACTGAGTTAATGGTTCGGTAATTGGTATGTACAAATTTTCATTCGATTCGATTCGATCGGCTTACCGATTGGAAGAACATCACTAGGTAAATTTGATATTGTAAGGGTGGACGTGTATATACATATTTGAGGAGTGGTTGTAATTATGCAAACAAGAGGTTTTATTTTAATAATTATACATTACCTCAGGGAGGTGGCAGTAATTTACCATAACAAAAACAAAATTACAGAATTATTGTATTCACTTACTGTTATATCTTATTTTTTTGGCACACCTAGGGATATATTACAATGGGTAAGGGTTTGCTGGTTCTTAGACCCGGAACCGACCCAATTGGGGTGAGTCTGAATAAATTAAATGATTACGGGTTGGGTAATGAGTTTAAGTTTTTAGAACTGGATGATTGTAGGTCGGGTTACGGGTCTTATTAGAACCGACCCAGAACTGACCCATATAAATATATTATATTTAATAGTAATATATATATATACATATATATATATATATATATATATATATATATATATATATATATATATATATATATATATATTATATATATATACATATATATATATATTGATATACCTAAATGGGCCGGCCCAATGGGCCCTTAAATTTATCTACTAATTAGGCCCACTACACGAAAGCCCAAATACCTTCAAAGTAAGGCTTGGGCCCAACAAAGTAAGCTCAACCCAATCACCGATATATAAATAGGTGTTTTACTCATTTGAAAAGGTACGTTCTAAATATTGGGCAATCCACTTCAAGTTTATTCTCTCTATTCTCTCTACGATCCGTACATCTGACTTGAGCGTCGGAGGGGTTTCCGTCGGATCAACCCCCGGCTTAGTTCACGTGTGCTCATTTTGTAGGGACCTCAGGATCATCGAGCTAACTAGTTACTGATCAGCTTTGCTCTCCCAGCTCGTTTTCTATACTACTCCGGTGAGCTATATTTAAGCATCATCATTTTTGGCGCCGTCTGTGGGAACGATGCAAACCAGATCACGTAGCCAACAAGATCCTCCTGAGGCGTCAGCTCGGAGAGAAAATGACACAGCTAATAACCTCCCAGTCCGTGGAGGATCTGGCATGCCACCTCCTCCACGCGCCGCGGAGCAACTTCCTCCACGTGCCACGGAGCCAGCTCCTCCACGTGCGGCAGATCCACCTCACGAGGTTCAGGTGATCCCTCATCGGGACCCACCACTCGCCGATCCACCACTCCCTGCTCCTCGAACGGTTCAAATAACCGAGGACGCGCTCCAACGCATGATAGCAGAAGCCTCAACTCGCGCCGCCACGGAGGCCGTAACTCAATATATCGCCACGATGGGAGCAAACGCTCCCAATGCGATACCAGCGCCAGCTCCACCTATAGTGCCACACATGGCTCCACCACCAATCCAGAATCAAATAAGCGTCTCCTCCTCTACCTCGGACCCACGGTCACGAGTGCAGCTATCTACTAATCACAGAGGGGCGCAATCCAGACAGCAGCGTCAGCGCTCACTCCCACGGGGGAATGCGTCACCACCGAGAGTCCCTCTCTTTAATGTGGGAGAAGGCGAGGTAAACAGCGGAATGTCCCGCCAAAACCTTTTCTCCCAACCAAATAATCAAATGGGTGAAAGAATGCCTCTCCCAACAAGACGCAGTCCCTTCACCATACACATTCTCAACGAGGCATTACCTCAAGGAGTAAAGATCTCGGTGTTACCACAATTTGAAGGGACCACCGACCCACATGAATATATTGAGAAATTCAGTGCCATGGCGGACTTATATGGCCCGACGGATGCTGCGATGTGCAAGATGTTCCGCACCACTCTATCCAAGAGGGCAATGAATTGGTTCAACTCTCTACCCATAGGGTCGATTGACACCTTCGCTCGATTGTCGACCCGGTTCACCAACCAATTCGCTATCAACAAACAATATGCCAATACCCCAGCTCATCTTTTCTCTGTAGTACAGAGAGATAACGAAACGCTCCGCAACTACATTAAACGTTTCGTAGAGGCCGTCCACGAAGTCCCCAGTGTGGGGCAAGACATGCTCTCCGGGATTATGCAGCAGAACTTGAAGCCGGGTAGATTCAATAAATCTATTGCCGGAAGACCCCCAGGCAACCTAGAGGAGTTGGTAAATCGAGCCGAAAAGTACGTCCGGATAGAGGAAGCCTCTACCCATACTCTTCCTAAAAGGAAAAAGGGAAGATGACCGTCAGGACAATAGGAGACGTGATGACCGACGTCCACCACTTCCACCTCAAAGCCAACCCTCCTCCTCCTCCTCACTCCGTTAAACGCTCGCCTCACTGAAATCCTTCATGTGATAGAACAGAGAGGTTTAGCGGAGCCTCCACGTCCTATGCAGCCGAATGCAAAGCGAGAAAAGTCGGATCGTTATTGTCGATTCCATAAGGACAAAGGACATACTACAGAGGAATGTGCACAACTCAAAGCGGCAATTGAGAGGCTGATCAAACAGGGCCATTTAGGCGAATACATCGATAAGCCGCAAAATAAACGCCGTGATGATCCTCCACGCCGAGATAACAATCCGGATAAACAACAAAGACGAGAAGATGGAGGTCATCGACGTGACCTAGATAACAATGATAACCAGCCTACTCGGGGAATCATCTCCTTTATCTCCGGAGGACCGGCGGGGGGCGATTCACAAAATGCAAGACGCACCCTCGCTCGATCAGCGCGCATGAATCAAGAACGTGCGTCTCCATCCGCACGCATATATCAAATACGAAAACCTGATCACAGCATAGTCTTCAACTCCTCCGACCTCGAAGGTCCAGATGAAGACCATGTCGATGCATTGGTAGTAACAACAACGGTGGCCAACTTCTTGGTCAAGAAGATATTAGTGGACGGTGGAAGCTCAGCTGACATCATGTACCTCCACGCTTTAAGCAGCTGGGCATAGATAATGCCCGGTTTAATCCCGTCTCCACACCCCTGAAAGGATTCACAGGAGAAGGCATTTTATCCATGGGAGAGGTAGAGCTGCCCGTCTCTTTAGGGGAAGACCCTTGTCGAATCACCAAGCTAATCAAATTCCTCATCGTCGACAAGCCATCTCCCTACAACGTTATCTTAGGGAGGCCAGCCATCCATACATTCAAGTCCGTACCTTCCTCCTACCATCAGAAGTGGAAATTCCCTACTCCCTATGGAATGGGGGAAATACTTGGCGACAGACGTCTCGCCCGAGAGTGCTATGCAAGGGCCCTACGAGAACCCTCCAAGAAGCCTAAACCACCCGGAAGGGGAGACGACACCCAAAAATACGACAAACGGAAGTGGGTCAATGCGATAATTGAGGACAATAAAGAAATCCTCATCAGTGTACCAGACGATAGCATCAAGCTAGCAGGTGTCGAAGAGCTTAAGCTCAAAGAACTCACCCCTGGAGATAGCTCCAAACTCCTACGCATCGGATCCGATTTAGACCCTGAGATGGAGAAGCAATTAGTCAAATTCTTGCGGCACAATGGAGATGTGTTCGCTTGGAAAGCCCAAGATTTGTCGGGCATTCCCCCTCAGGTAGCCCTACATCGGCTTAACGTCGACAAGAGGTTGAAGCCAGTCAAACAGAGGAAACGGACATTTGGTCCCGAGCGCAACAAGCATATCAAAGAGGAAGTGGCAAAACTCCTTGACGCCGGCCACATACGACCAGTTCAGTATCCTGAATGGTTGTCAACGTAGTACTCGTTCCCAAACCCGGGGGCAAGTGGAGACTATGCGTAGACTTCACCGACCTCAACAAAGCTTGTCCTAAGGACTCTTTTCCTCTACCTATAATCGATCAACTCATCGATTCGACCTCAGGATGCGAGCTCCTCAGCTTCCTCGATGCATACCAAGGGTATAACCAGATCTTACTTGCGCCAGAAGATCAAGAGAGGGCTAGTTTCATCACTGACCAAGGCATCTACTGCTATCAAGTCATGCCCTTCGGGTTGAAAAATGCAGGAGCCACCTACCAGCGTCTAGTGAACAAAATGTTCGCAGATCAGATCGGTAAAAATATGGAGGTGTACATCGACGACATGCTCGTCAAAAGTATTAAGGTCTCGGACCACATAACGGATCTGGATCAGTGTTTCGCCACCCTGCGAAAATATAAGATGAAGCTCAACCCCCTCAAATGTTCATTCGGAGTTCGGGGAGGCAAATTTTTGGGATATATGATTTCGCAGCGAGGAATCGAAGCTAATCCCGCGAAAATCGAAGCAATTACCTCCATGGCTCCGCCAACATCGATCAAGAAAGTTCAACAGCTCAACGGCTGTTTGGCATCCCTGAACAGATTCATTTCAAGATCAGCGGACAAGGCTCTCCCCTTTTTCAAGATTTTAAGGGGAGGAAAAAAGTTCGAGTGGGATGAGGCATGTCAAAATGCCTTCACAGAGTTAAAGTCATATCTCGCATCACCACCATTGCTTACAAAACCTCAACCGGGAGACATCCTCATGCTTTACTTAGCTACCTCGGCTGATGCCATCAGCGCAGTCCTCATCCGAGATGGAGAAAAAGGTCATCAACCCATATACTACATAAGTCGCGCCCTCCAAGGAGCCGAACAACGCTATACCAACATGGAGAAGCTCGCTCTCGCCCTCATTAACGCAGCTCGGAAGCTTCGACCCTATTTCCAGTCGCATCAAGTGGTGGTTCTCACCAATTATCCCCTGAAGCAGATATTAAGGAGCCCTGAGACATCCGGGCGATTAGCAAAATGGGCGATAGAACTCAGCGAATATGGGGTCGAGTTCAAACCCCGCCTAGCTATTAAAGCGCAAGTATTGGCTGATTTTCTGGTCGAAATGACTTCAATAGAAGAAAACACCTCTCTACCTACTTGGTATGTCAGCGTTGATGGATCTTCCACTGCCACCGGAGGGGGAGCGGGTATCGCCCTAACGAACCCTGATGGAGACGAGTTCGAATATGCTCAACGATTCGAATTCACAGCCTCAAACAACGTCGCTGAATACGAAGCACTGATAGCGGGAATCCACCTCGCCCTAGCCGCCGGAGCGCGCAAGCTCCTAATCCAAAGCGACTCTCAGCTCGTCGTTAACCAAGTACTCGGAGTTTACGAGGCCAAAGAAGACATCATGGCCAAATACTTAGCTCTCGCGCACACTCTCTTATCTAAATTCGAGAGCTATGAGATAAGACAAGTACCTCGCTCCAATAACGTCCATGCAGACAAATTAGCTAGGCTAGGAAGCTCCATGGCCAGCATCGGAAGTCGGAAGGTGACGCTCCTCACCTCACCTCAGCCGGAGATAAATTCGCCTACTGAAGTACACTACACCGAGGAGGATCAACCATGCTGGTTCACTCCAATTCTGAAGTATCTCAAGAAGGGGGAACTCCCAACGGATCCCACTGAAGGACGGAAGTTAAAAACAAGAGCCGCCCGCTTCACTATAGTGGGAGAAGAACTGTATAATCGAGGTTTCTCATTCCCCTATCTCATGTGCCTCGACCCGACCACATCGGATTACGTACTTAGAGAAGTACACGAAGGCATCTGCGGTAATCACTTAAGCGGGAGAACCTTAGCTCTCAAACTACTGAGACAAGGCTATTATTGGCCAACGATGCATGAAGACGCGAAGAAATTAGTCCGGAAGTGTAAGCCCTGCCAAGAGCATGCCAATATCACTTACCTACCAGCGGCATTAATGCAACCGATTGACAGCTCTATCCCTTTCGCCCAATGGGGGATGGATTTAGTGGGACCATTCCCGCCCGCCACAGGAGGACGCAAATACCTAATTGTAGCAGTAGACTACTTCACCAAATGGGTGGAAGCTGAACCCTTAGCACGCATCCGAGAAGAAGAAGTCATCCAATTCCTATGGAAGAACATCGTATGTCGCTTTGGAATCCCACGTTCCATCATCTCAGATAATGGAACCCAATTTTGCGGGGACAAGGTGAAGAATTGGTGCCTCGGCTTGGACATCAAACAATTCTTCACATCCGTAGCAAATCCGCAAGCTAACGGCCAGACAGAGGTTACAAATCGCACTATACTCCAACACCTTAAAACAAGGCTTGGAGGTGCCAAAGGGAAGTGGGTGGAAGAATTGCCTAACGCCCTATGGGCTTATCGCACAACCCCCCGTGCATCGACCGGAGAGTCGCCCTTCAATCTAGCTTTCGGCACAGAGGCTATCGCACCCGTGGAAATAGGTGAACTATCTTGGAGAATCACCAGTTATGATCCAGCAGCTAATGAAGAAGCTATGCGTGGAAGCCTAGACCTTGTAGATGAGCTACGAGAGATCGCATACATCCGGCAACAGATGTATAAATCACGCATGGTCAAGGCATATAACTCAAAGGTCCGCCCTCGCTCCTTTCAAGTTGGAGATTTAGTCCTCCGAAAAGCTGAAGCCTCCCACCCCATCGGTTAGCTCGACCCAAAGTGGGAAGGACCGTATAAAATTACCAAAGTGGTCAACACCGGAGCATATCGCCTCGAGAACACTGACGGACACCCTATACCCAGAACTTGGAATATAGGGAACCTCAAACGGTTCTACGCTTAAGGTATACATCTACCTATGTTAAATCCGTTGAAGTAACCACCTATGCCCTCCCTATATGAAAATTACTTACAAAAAATGACCCATGCAGGGTCCGCGGTCTTCCACGTCACTCGTCTTGCAAAATTGTCTCTATATGCTTTGGAAACTTTCTACTACATTACGAGGTGCGTGAACGTCCCACTTAAACTGGGGGGCTAGTAAATTTACTTACATCATCAATTCGTATTCACATCTCACCATCTTCTAACAGAGTAAGAGTCAATTACGAGAGGACGCATATTGCTCAATCAATGGCCCAAAGAGCGAAGCCGCCCCATACCACATCGCCAAGGGTAACAATATCTCCGCTAGACTACAACACACGCATGCCTTCGTTTACTCTTACTAACGTGAAAAAATCATTCCATCTGACAGGCACAATAACACAGCAAACCACAGCAAATCACGAATTGATTTCATATCTGGAAGTGCGAGGAAGAAAACCATCCCCGTGTTAGGGTATGTGAATTGACAATGCACATCACCTTAGCTACAATTACTAAGTCCTTGATACAAATGCTTAAACAAAATTCCTTTTTCCTCAATTATACCTGACAGGCATAGAGACGCCAAAGGAATTCAGCCAACCATCAGCACAGCGAAACGAATGCATACAAGGAAGACGTGGAAGAAGAACAAGTGTAGCACAATCACTCAATTTTTTTTTATATAAAGACAATTTATTTGCTTTAGTAGTAGTTAGTTACCTTCGCCTCATGTAGGCCCATAGCATTAGCTATTTATTTAAATTCGCCTCACATAGGCTTGTAACAATTCTCCTTTGCTATCATCGAATAAATCACGATTTTTATTTTACTCTCTGTCCCTTCACATCGATACAAATTACATCTCATCATGAGTCTAATTCAAAACCACCCTATAAACACTTAGAGAGATTTAGACAATCCACATAGCCTGGCCAGCTGGATTATCTGAGTCCCTTTATTTGTTTCACGAGGTGTTAATTTTAAAACGTGGCCACGGACAAATATATTTAAGACCCAAGCGGTCCGAACAAAGGGCACGACCCTTAACAAAAACCTTGGGAGACTGATCCCCTCCTCAAGTACATCGCGTATATGCTAATGTAAATACATATAAGCATCGCATTAATTTTTGACAATGTCAAAATAAATAAATCGAAATATTAAACTTCAAAGTCAAACAAGGAAGAAACTCAAACGAAATAGTAGTGGACATACCCATCTACATCAGCGACAAAAATAAACTACGAAATCCATAAAAAAAAATAATAGCAATAAACATAAAAGGGGAAAGTTAACTATCCTAGCAACTAAATCTAAACTCCCCTACCGCGAGCGGAAGACGTACCCACAGTGGAGTCATCCGCAACCATGTCATTCACGAGCTCTGTGCCCGTCCCATTGACATCTACCTCATCCTCATCTTCATCGGATATGCCAGCTTCCATCCCACGAATCACTTCCTCGCTTATCCCACCCGCATCGCGCAGATATTTGCGACAAGCACGCAGTAATGGCTTATAAACCACAGCCAATGCGTGCTCCTCAATCATAGCAGCACACTCATCACTACCTCGGAAACTAGCCTTGGTCTCCTCCACAATGGACTCCTTATAAGCCGCACCACCTGATGTCGTGAGGAACCTCTTCCCTGTCGCCTTCTCAACTTCATATTTCTCTTTCAGCTGGTCGTAGCATTCGTTCAACTTATGAACATCATCCTTATATGCCTTCGCATCACCTCGGATAACCTCGAGCTCATATGTCCTTTCAGCAAGCTCCTCTGTCCTCCGAGCAAGCTCTTCCGAGCGTTGAGCAAGATCGGACCGCACTACCTCCAACTTGCTTAGAAGTTCATCCTCACGCGCTTGACTTCGAGCCCGCTCCTCTTCCTTCCTAGCTTCCACGTTCCTACCATGCTCCATGAGATATCTCCAAGTCGCTACCAACTATATAAAAAAAAAAAAAAAAAAAAACAAATAAATAATAACAATATTTTTCGCAAGTCAAGAGGGAATAAAAAAAAAAAAAAAAATCTTGTTTTAAGTAGACAAGTACTCACCCGACATATATCCCCACCAGCTAACTCTAGCATGTGAGAAGGACCCTTACCAGATATCCGAGCACGGTCATACTCCCGAACGAATCCCTCGGTACTCAACATCGGCAAATCATAGTCCAACACATCCCAGAACGACTCCTTACCATCGCGGTTCACGCCATAAGTAAACAGTTGTTTCCCTCCCCCACCATGGAAAGCATAAGTCTCCTCTGGGTCTACCTGTGGACGCTTAGGCACAGCCACATACTCGGTATCCACCCTCTTTCCCTTGCCACGATCCCTCATCGGTCGACGCCCCTCCACTTCACCAGCACTGCTACGGTCATCTGCGACTACTCGAGGAGTTTCTACATGAACCTCCTCACGAAGCAAACCACTTGAAGAACCTCCCAATGTAGAGGGTACCTTCTTCGATGCCTTCTTCGACGTCCCATTCACCTTAGCTCGAAGTGCCGCAAAGGTGATACCCCCATCTACAGAAGATAACAAACACATAAGAGACATGAGGTATACACTACCAAAGAACTACAAATACAAAAAAAAAAAAAAAAAAAAAAAACACAAGTCAAGGCAACAAAAGGATATACGATGCTGACCCTTCACCGTCGGTATCAAACCCCTCGGATCAAATTCCACATCACACAACCCAGATTCCTCAATCCTCTTCGCCATATTCGCAGTTATCGTGAAACTCTCACACGTAGGATTCCAAACTACGGGAACGTCAAAAGTGGGAGCCTTCACATAAAAAAAATAGGTCTTCCATTTCCCCAAAGATAGCTTCACACTCTTCACGAATTGGTAAGGAACGCGAGGATGAAAACAAAAGAAAGGCATCTTATTGGGCCGATGTAACGTAAATAACGCCTTAAATAAACTCACAGACACAGGCAGACCTACTCGAACCACCCTAAAATGAAACGCCTGGAACATCAGAACAACAGTGGGTGTTAGCTGACTATACCCAATTTTGAATTCCTCGCAAACCTTCAACAAGGTGGGATGCGGTGTAATCTGAGATGTGCACGTCAAGTACCCCAAAAATACCGTATGAAACCCATCGGGTGGCGAATACAAACGGTCTCCCTTCCGAGGCAACAACAACTCGACATTACTCGGCGCTCCGGATAAACGACGAATAGAATGCAAATGCTCTTCCGTCAATACACTATCAAAATTAACTAAGTCCAAATTAATTGGCTTATTTTTCTTTTGCCTCCTCGTGTCAACCTCAACATCACCTAGCGGAATATCATCTTCCTCATCCTCTTCATCCGTCAGCTCAACTTCACTACTTGGCACCGCATGATCACTCGCCAAAGGAGCTTGATTCGAATCATCACTATCGCTCCCAAAATCCACGACTCGACGCCCATAGCGACGTCTACTGGAATCCGCTTCATCAACAGTAGGGCAAATATTAATATTATTACGCACTTCTACATCGTCACTCCACGATTCAATGATTTCTCGCCGACCAAAACTTCCCCCGTTTAAAACAACACGCGAATCAGCACCCTCGGAAATTCGCCCGAACCGGGCTCAAAACCACCCTCTAACGCGCCCTCACGCGCGCGCGGAACCCCAAGAGAGCCTTCCTCACGCGCGCGCGCGTCCTCCAGTGCAGCAAGGCCACGTGGCTCTTTCCCAGCCACACACGCGCGCTCACGCGCCCTAACACCCCCCAGCGACGCGCGCGTACGCGCGCCCTCATTGGGCAGCGCGCGCGCGTCACCTACACTACCACCCTCCATCGCCGCGCGCGCACGCGCCCCTTCATTAGGCAGCGCGCGCGCGTCATCGCTGCCTAAACCAACTGCCACCACGCGCGCGTCGGGACACGGCCCAATCCCGCGCGCACGTTCCCCCACTTCCGACGAGCCCCTACCAGCAGCTGGCCCACGTGGGCGGCTGCCTCTCTCTCCCCTACCCGAGGCGCGCACGTGGCCTCCTCCCGTTGGACCACGTGCCCCAATTCTTCTCTCCTCAGCCGCCGACCCGGCTTCCAATTCCACGGCTCGGCTCGGCTTCTCCCTAACCTCGAAGCGCGCGCCCTCACACGTTTTTGATCGGCTAGAATCGCGGCTCGAGCCGGCACACCCATCCGAGTCACCTACCCCACCCACCTGCACAGAATTTCGAGCTCCACCTACCGCAGATCCGATTTCTCCACCCGATCGTACTACCTTCTCGCGTTCCATGCCCACGGAACCAAAATTTTTCTCGACCCCTTCAACCGGATCACGAAGTTTAATCCGTAAAGATTTCGAATCACCCGGATTCGACATGACTAAATTTTCTCCGGACAAAAAATCAAAAAACAAAAAATTTCTACTCTACCACAAAAACAAAAATTTCAAGAGAAGAATAGCACAGAAGAAGACCTAGAGTTCAAAGAACATACCCATATTTATTGCAAGAGTTGAAGTTTAATTCTTTCCACCGTAAAAGGAGTCTATTTATCTGGCCCTGGTATAATATTTAAAACCCTTAAATATATACTTCGCTGCCAAATAAATACAACTATCCCTTATTTAAATTAAGGAATTATTTCACCGCCAACGGAAACTATTCAATCCACGACGCAATTAACTCTCGACACGACCCGGACCCCGCTACACAAGTCTCCATCTCGAATCGAGAGTTGGGGGGCTTAATGATATACCTAAATGGGCCGGCCCAATGGGCCCTCAAATTTATCTACTAATTAGGCCCACTACACGAAAGCCCAAATACCTTCAAAGTAAGGCTTGAGCCCAACAAAGTAAGCCCAACCCAATCACCGATATATAAATAGGTGTTTTACTCATTTGAAAAGATACGTTCTAAATATTGGGCAATCCACTTCAAGTTTATTCTCTCTATTCTCTCTACGATCCGTACATCTGACTTGAGCGTCGGAGGGGTTTCCGCCGGATCAACCCCCGGCTTAGTTCACGTGTGCTCATTTTGTAGGGACCTCAGGATCATCGAGTTGACTAGCTACTGATCAGCTTTGCTCTCCCAGCTCGTTTTCTATACTACTCCGGTGAGCTATATTTTAGCATCATCATATATATATATATATATATATATATATATATATATATATATATATATATATATATATATATATATATAACTTGCCAATTTTTCACGGTTTCAGTTTTTTGAATCTTGTTTCTCGTAAGTAATATCTATCAAACATGTCGACTACCGCTAGCCGTCTTGCATTTTGAAATATTTATTGTAGAAGTTAAATTTAATTAATTATATAATTTTATTATTCACTTTATATTACTTGTACAAATTTTATAAAATATTGTATTTTAATTTTGATTTTTTCTTGGTTAAAATATACAAGCAAAATATAATGAAAGTTCAAAATAATTTTTTTTATGTGAACGGGTCTAGCGTGAGTGTGGCGGGTCAACACTGTTTAATTGGTGTATGGATTGGGGCGAGTTCTGGTCTAAGCTAAACGGATTGAGGGGGGTCTGGATTTTATATATTTTTCACGAGTCGGGTCTCGAATTTAGGTAAACCCGCGCCTAAACCAATCGTTGCCATCCCTAAGCATACCTTTGATAATCTCCAAAAAAATCAACAAGAATTTTTTTTTAATATGTAACAACAAGAATCAATCACCTTAAAAAAACTCAATTCTTTATAGAATATATTAATCAATTACTTCAATCGAAGAGCACAAAAATGTTCTAAACATTATTATGATAATTAATAAAGGAGTGGAAGGGGGAAAAAACACACATAAGCTAGTGAAACATGATTTTGAAATTGAGTAAAAAAAAAATGATTCTGAAATAAAATTGCACATCAGCTGATTTCCCACACGAACCCTAAACCCTACCGTTAGGTCAAATAAAAAAAGAAAACACTTTGCCCATTTTTCACAAATCTACCTGCTTCTTCCCTTTCAAACCTACCCGCTAGCAATTCCTCCATCACCAACACCTTCCCTCAGCGCCGTCGATCTCCTCCTGGGTTCCACACCAAAACCCCTTAAATTTCTTCTCCAATGGCTTCCATATTGCGCAAGCGCAAAGCGTCAAAACCGGATCTATCGAAGTCACCAAATCGAAGGAAAGGATCTCCTCTGCCATCAGACATGTCGGCGCCGCTGTCACCAAACATGCCACTACTGTGGGGTTGATTCTAGCCAAGAGTCACGATCCTAGTTTCGTGGGTGGGTGGGAGGAGAGAATAGATGAGATAGAAGAGATAATTGAAAATATATTATATAGAAACCAACGTGTCGATAGATTGATAGAAGGGTAAAAATAGGGTTTATAATAATTCAGGGGTAGGTCAATTTGAAATATCATATTAGGATTTTATATAAAACAGGAAAAAATAAATTAGAGTCTAGGTGAAAAGTGCTAATGAGAGGAGTATCCCTAATTTCTCTTTAAATTATACCTGAATGACATAGGAGGAATATATAAAACTCATGCACATAACAAAAGTCATGTAATTCATGTTTCTATTGCTATATGTAAATTTACTTGTGCAATGCACGTGAATTGTATATTTCTAATTGGCGATTTTATGAAAATATTTAAATAAATATATTAAGACAAAAATAAATAAAAGTTGAATTCTATGAAGAGAAAATTAGCAAGAACCTCCCGTCTAGGAAATGTAGTGAAGAAAAATCCCCAAAAGTAATTAGAGAAAACCCTCTTATCTAATATTCCACCTAAGTGTTATTTTCATAATTCCAAAACTACCATTAATTGTTTCTTTATCCTGTTATTTTTCATTTATCCCATTCTCCTTTATCGTTTCTTTCTTTTATCTTCTCGTGGGTCTCAAAGAATTGTCACCATTGTCGGAGAGAACGTCTCTTTGGAGGCGTTGTCGGCGCTAAAAATAAAAATGGTGGTGATGGTGGTGGTGGAGAAAAAGAAAAACTGCAAGAGAGATGAAGAAGGTGGTCGGCGGAGATACGCGATCACATAATACGGGAGACGATGGGGTGACGATGGGGAGCAGATCTAGGGTTATTTTGGGTAGATTGCTCGGTGAATGGTGCATACGGAGGAAGTTCGCGCAAATTGGATCCTTAATCGACTATGTTCCAGTTGCCGATTAAGATTAATTGACTATGTTGTAGTAGTCGATTAACGATAATCCACTACCATTTTAAATGATTTTTGGATTTTGTTTATTGTTTTTTTAGGTTGCCAACAAAGTTGGACTAGGGGGCATAGGGATAGTGCATTTTTGTTCTATCATTGTGATCAATCATTCCATTCGTATAAATCAATTACAATTTTTTGTTTTGTAACGATAATTGATTTTCATTTTTTTAGTTGTTTTTGTTATTCATTTCGGTTGGTTATTTTTTGGATTCTTTTTAGTTTTTATTGAATCATGTTGGCTTTCATTGATGGCATTATAGTCGTTGTTGTTACTTACTTAATCGACTATGCCTTAAGTTGATAGTCGATTAATACACCTGACAGCATAAAAAAAATTTAAAATTTTTTCTAAGAAAAAGTAAAAAAAAAAAAAAAAAACGAAAATCAATTTAAAAAAGAAAAGGAAAGTCATTGTTCGCTCCATTTGTAGCATTAGCATATCATGCCCATAAAGATTCTCGTTTAATAATTGACCACATAAGCTTGCCATGTAGACAGACCGTCACTTGTTTGAGATTTTGAATTCTCAAACCTCCTTTGTTGATCTATGATTCAACTTATGAAATATATGATTAAGAGAAGAAGAAAATCCACTGGAGAATATTGCACACTGAGAAAGAAGTTGGGAGTTACATTGTGAGGCAAACTTCCCATCCAGTTTCCTTGTTGCAGTAGGAATCTTTCCTTATCTTCCAAGGAGCTACAAGGATGTTTGTAGATTCCATATGAACCTTGAGGGATGTGTAAAGGAGGAGAGATCGAGACATATAAAATCACAAAGAGAGATATATGCTTGAAGAGAGAAAAGCAGTTTAGGGTTTTCTTTAGTGTGCGTTCTAGGTGTACTGTGTGAATTAGGCTTAGATTATTGTGGATTGATTGTAATATGTAGCTCTCTTGATAAATATATAGTTCTTGGGTTGCTAGGTGGATGTAGGATCCCATTGAGTCGAACCACGCAGTGGCGGAACTTAATAGGGGTTAGGGGGGACTGTTGACCCCCCAAGATTTAAAATTTTTTTTTTTTAGGTATTTTGACACTTTATTTTTTGAATATTACTTTTGACCCCTCTAAAGTTTTTGCAAATATGTATCTTAATCCTTAATTTTTTTGTTTTTTCTCCATATATATAACATTTTTTTGAATTAATATAAACTTATTTTTGCAATGTATTGTGAACCTAAATTTTTTTTCGGAGCGCTGCCCCGATTCTCGAAATTTTAGTTAGCCCCCCCTACATTTTCATCCTGGTTCCGCCCCTGGAACCACGGTAAATTTGGTGTTTAATTGTGAAGAGTAAGTTTATGGTGCCTCTAACACACGTAAAAACACTTTTTCACACACTGTTCTTGAAAGCCAAATATTACACAACATCCTTCATTAACGTGTGAACATATTTATTTCCAGTTAACTCAATGGGCACAAGGGGACGCATTAGCACTTCAAATAAAAGTTAACATGAGGTTCTCGATACATTTAAGAATTGTATTAGGGAGCTTAGTGCATGCCATGGTATAAATGGGAGTACTTGCAAGAACACAATTTTACAAGCGTAAGGTTCCCAGCAAAAAAAAGAAGATTTTGATTTCCAGCCGTCAAGTTTGTTGCGTATGATTCTGAGAAGATGTTCGAAATGTTCGATCCTAGCTCTTTCAATCATAATGGGCATGCCAAAATAGTGTAATGGAAACTGTTGCCTTTTGATTCCACTTTTTCTTTCGATAAAATGATTTCTCCGATGAGCTCGTTTGCAAAAAAAAACTCCACATTTGTTTTTATTAGTAAATTGGCCAGATGGAAGCTTGTACGATGCCATAACCATAATCCAATTTTAAGTGATAAATTGGACCCGTTAGTAAACAATAAAATTCCGTCCGCATAATAAAACAAATGCGAAATCAAATTCCTGTCTTCCAAACTTATAGGGACGCATCTTATGCTCTTCAATTTTCCTATTAAGGTTAAATGAAAAGATTTACTACGCCATCATGAAAAGCATTGGAGATAAAGGGTCATATTGCCGCACACACCGAGAAGATTTTAAGTTTTCACGTTCAGACCCATTAATTCAGAAAGAGTACCAGATGTTACAAAAGTTCCGATAAATAAGATCACATGCAAGATGAGAAAATCCAAACAAGCGCATAGCCCGAGCTAAGAATCGCCACTCGAGTCTATCGTAAGTTGTAGCCATGTCAATGTTAAATACCACATTGTTGAAAATTAAACTTGAATAAATTAGTCAAACTAATAATTATTAGTTGTGTGAATTTGTGTAAGTTCATGTACATAGGAATTGTAAGTATATAATATATTATTTGGACATTCATCTTCCAAAGTATCTAGAGAGTCTAATTCTTGGTCAAATAGATTATCTAATATAATAGTCTAGAATTGTCTTTCTCTTGTATAAATAAGAGTGTCCATCATCACTTTGTGTGTAAGGAAAATCATCCGAGAACAAGAAATATAATTGAGAGTACATAGTGTTGATTGAGTTGGGATTCCATCTTTCTCCTTTGCACTACAAAAGTTTTTTTATTTACATAGGAACCCACCTTCTAACACACATGCCCCCATGACCATTCCGGTTAATGTCGTCCCTAATCATTTCTTGTGCATGGGTAACATGAGTAGCTATGTTTTTTTCTTGACAAAGTCAGCTTGTTTTTCATCAATAAGATCTAGAATTCACATCGCCAAAAACGCCAATTCCACCCCATTAGAGCTTAGAGCTTTCTAGGCATGTAATAAATTATTATGAAATGTTTGAGCAGGAGATCCCAATACCTCTTTTTTTCCATGGTGATTCCATTACTTGTTTTAACAAGTCACGATGAGGCCAAATGTGTGAATGTGTTGAAGGATGAAAAATGTGATGTGCTTGGACGTCTTATCTTTGAAAGACATACATAGAGGCGAGTGGTCTTAGAAAATACATTCAAGATGTGTCAACTGCATGTGTAGAAATACTAATTGTGCATCTGGATTAAATAGTTATCAATCTAGTCGTTCCCAAATAAAGGGTTGATTATCTTCGATTATTATACCATGTGAATTGGTTACCCACCAAATCGGCATCCAAAAGACCAACTAATTGTATAAAACAATTTTGGAAATCATAAATATTGCGACTATGAAAGGAGAGACCCCTTTCGTCTCGGTCCTATCTGCTAATAGTGTTAAAATCACCTCCATCAACCAAGGTTCTCTATCGATGAGCAGCTTGCATAGACAAAAGTAACACTATTTTGTATAGCAATTCTAGCAGTGATTGCTTGACTAGACGAGCTGACTGAGTCAAACACTAATATCATTTCTCCACAAAGTCCAAATATATATCGTTGTAAGAAGTTTTGAGACCTTAATCGGGAAGCCAATTTCTTTAAAACAATAATCGCACGCTTTAGGTTCCGAAATAACTAACAACTCCATTTGATGTTTATGAATGATTTTTTTAAAATGATTAACTACCTCGGGCTTCTATGCACCTCTAACATTCTAAATTAGGCAAGCTAAAGATTTTTGTTGGAACTTCTAGCAATCAACCTGGTTTGTTGATCACTACGAGGTACTATCTTTCTTTCAATTATTTGTATTTTTTTACGAGCCTCCGGAACTTTAGATGTCAGATCCCTATCCAAATAGGAGAGAGAGATTGCTCACGTGTATCATCAGCTATATCCTCCAAGTGATACTTCCCCCCTCTGGAAGTAGTGCCTCAAAAGAATTGAATGTGGATATGATGGTAATTTCACCGATAGCCACTACTCTTTATGTACTCCAATTTTTGTTGTTGTTGTTGTCCTAACAGTATTCTCTTTGATCAGGTCTACAGATATGTGCTCATCGATAATGTTCGTGACCGGTGGAACCGTAATCACTAGAGCTTGTAATGGTTTGAACTTTGAAGGATTCATCTACTGCCACTAAATTGGAGGAGTCTTCAGCTATTGGCTTTTTAATAACCTTTTTTCACATTAATTCACGATTCATGCCCATCAAATCTATTGTGAGAGTCAAATTTTGTTAGATCTCCAATAAGGAATTCGTGGCGGACAGCGCGTGCCCTCGGCGTGCCTCAGCAACTGCGCGCTCCCGGTGCTGGCCAGCGGGCTCCCCATTCGACCCGTCTTGAAAGACGGACCACGGAGTCTGACATGTGTGCGAGTCAACGTGCTAGTAAACCCGCAAGGCGCAAGGAAGCTGACTAGCGCGATCCCCCTCGAGGGGTGCAACGCCGACTGACCTTGATCTTCTAAGAAGGGTTCGAGTGAGCAAACCTGTCGGGACCCGAAAGATGGTGAACTATGCCTGAGCGGGGCGAAGCCAGAGGAAACTCTGGTGGAGGCCCGCAGCGATAATGACGTGCAAATCGTTCGTCTGACTTAGGTATACGGGCGAAAGACTAATCGAACCATCTAATAGTTGGTTCCCTCCGAAGTTACCCTCAAGATAGATGGAGCTCGAGCGCGAGTTCTATCGGGTAAAGCCAATGATTAGAGGCATCGGAGGCGCAACGCCCTCGACCTATTCTCAAAATTTAAATAGGAAGGACGGTGCGGCTTCTTTGTTGAGCCGCACCAGGGAATCGAGAGCCCTAAGTGGGCCATTTTATGTAAGCAGAACTGGCGATGGGGAATGAACCGGAAGCCGGGTTACGGTGCCCAACTGCGCACTAACCTAGATCTCATAAAGGGTGTTGGTCGATTAAGACAGCAGGACGGTGGTCATGGAAGTCGAAATTCACTAAGGAGTGTGTAACAACTCACCTGCCGAATCAACTAGCCCCGAAAATGGATTGCGCCAAAGTGCGCGACCTATACCCGGCCGTCAGGGCAAAACCCTGGGCGTGAGCCCGGGCGGAGCGTGTAGCACCCCCCTTTATATCGGGCGACAAATCGAACCGGTTTATAGGAATTCTATATACTTAGCGAAAGCAAAGGATCACTTTGTAAATATTGAAACATTGGAATGGGGCGAAAATGCAATTTTCAAAAATATCTTCCTTTGGGTATTGAAAACTTTGCACTTTCGGAAAACTTTCTTAGGTTGTTCTTAGCCGAATAGAGGTTTCATTCCAAAATAAGTTTCAAGAGGAGGTTTTTCATTCGAGTGCTACAATATCACTATCGGTTTTCGGTTCGAGAATAAATCAGAGTTTGGAAAGGTTATTTTGGTGAATAATTCGGAAATTACAAATGGAGGCATAAGAAAATAGAAAATTACGAAACTTACTATATCATAATAGGGTTTAAGTACGATTCATAATGAAAATGAGTTCAAAAGGTACGAAAATGTTACGGTTTAAGATTACACCACCAAAAGAAAACAACCAAAAGCTTCTAGCATCGTTCATAGGTCCTCGTACGTCTTCCAAAAATTCCGGGCAAGACCTCGATCCACTACTCGACCCATCCCGGTTGAGGATTACTACTACCTGCAATTAAAAGACATCTATATGAGCTATAAAGCTCAGTAAGAAATCCGAGTAATATCGAACTTTGGAAATACGTTATATATATTATATAATATTGTATACCCACTCTTACCCACGTTCCGTACAACAACACAATGCAATCGGTCAAGTCACACATCTCACGAAAACACATCATTTAACAAAATCACGTAATTATGCAAAATGACTAAAATGCCCTTTTTGTGAAAATCATGAAAAACACATTTTTCGTTTTATCGGATCCATGAAAGATTAATTTATGTACCCGAGTAATAAACCTGTTATGAGCCCGTTTTCACTAAGTGGAATCAAACCACTACACACATCATCCTAGTTGGATACCGGCCCACTATATCCGAGTTGTTTATTACCCGATATTCCATTAATCTTTCAAAAAAAAAAAATCAGTTAATGCAACTTTTTCGAAATAATGCTATAACCCACACATGACATCACAAATATCAATCAAGTGCCACAAAATAACACAAATCTTACAATTTACCACATAATTGTAAATTGGGCAAAATTCCCAAATTTACACACATAAACACACATTCGCACACGGCACACACACCATGCACAATCAGCACACACACACACCCACACATTTTCAGCACACACACATGCAGCCAACATATTAAACTTCACTATTTAGTCATCAAGGCATGCTTAAAACAAATACCCCTTTTCTCACATCTCATTTGATGAACTTATTACAACTTCTATGTAA